GTTCTGGGGAGTTGAGGCAGAGGCCAGCTCTGGGGTTCACCAGGGGACACTCGTCTAGGGAGCAGGCAGTGCGGGGGCCTGGGGGCCTGTCCCTGCTTAGCCGTGGTTGGGTGTCCCCCAGGGGAAGGGGATCGGCTGACGCAGACCTCAGTCTCCATCTGGAAAATGGGGGCAGGGGTGCCAGGCAAAGCCCAGAGTGGGGAACGCAGTGGACGTTAATTAAGCACCTACTGTGTGCCTGACCATCATGCCACTTGACCTTCCCTCTTCTTCCTCTTCTGCTGCTTCTCCCTTCCTCCCCCCTTCCCAACCCCCCTTCGCCTCATCCCTCCCCCTCCTCCTCTTGTCTTCTCCCTCCTCCCTCTTGTCATAACTGTCATTTATTAACACTTACTGCATGCTACCCAGCCCTTTCCGGTCATTTTTACTTAGCGCTCACGACAGCTGTGACAATATGTTCTGAATAATTTATCTTTCATAATATAAATGATTAATCTAGAACCTGACCAATAAACCTTTATTTGACCCTTTATAGACCCAGGAACAGTGACGAGCCTGGATTCTGACTTTGTGATTAGTCATGTTGCCATCCTTTTTAAGTTTCTTTTATCTATCTATCTATCTATCTATCTATCTATCTATCTAGAGAGTAGGGGAGGGACAGAGAGAGAGGGAGAGAACCCCAAGCAGGCTCCATGCTGTTAGCCCAGAGCCAGACACGGAGCTCAGTCTCGCGAACCATGAGCTCCTGACCTGAGTCGCAATCAAGCGTCGGACGCTCAACCGACTGAGCCACCCGGGTGCCCCGTATCATGCTTTTTTAACACCCGTGAAGCCCGGGGTCCGGCTTCAAGCCCCCTGCGTGTGATGTCCGTGAAGGTCATGACCGTCCTAGGAGGCAGGTTTGGTTGTGGCCATTTCAGTGGTTAAGAACTCAGAACGGTCCGGGTCTGGGCTGGGGGCTGATCGGGAGCCACATCCTGCCAAGCAGTCCCCTCTCTCCGTCTGGGAAAAGCGGGTGGGGGCGTGCAACTCTCGCCTGTGCCACATTTGCTCAAATATCCGTGCGTGTCTCGATCGTACGTGCCTGGATCGCAATCCGGGACAGCGTGGAAGGCGCTGAAGATGCGTCCGACTCAGCACGGCCAGCCCAGAGTAAGGCCCCCGACGGTAGCTGCCACTGTCCCTAACGAACACAACCCCGGTCTTCGATCCGGAAGCTTTGGGGGCCGGGCGTGTTTCAGAACTCCGGGTCCTTTCGGGGGTTCCGGGAAAGGGATGCGGGACGTCCCGTGACACGCTCGCTCCCCTCTCCACGGTCCGCCTCCGGAAGGGTCACGTCACGTGGGCAAATTGTAGCTCTCCCCGAGAGCGCCGTAATCACTTTTGGTCAGGGTTTGCTACCAAAAGGGTTAGGAAGGCGTCGGCGGCCTTCGGGGCGCTTCTGAGCGTGGGAGCTGCACGTGGAGGTTTTATGGGCCTTTATGGCTCCTTCGAGGAGAGTTTTCATTCCGTTCCGCTGACGCGTGCAGATGGGGAGAGCGAGGCCGGAGAAAGCAAGCCCCGGGTTGCACGGCAGAGCCCGGCGGAGGCTGGGATTCGAACGTAGGTGGCGGCCACGTCCAGGTGAAGCGTTCTCTCTGGCCGCGCCGGCACCGAGTGCCCTGTGCGTCAGCCCTGTCCTGCGCCAGCCCCTTGTTAACCTCTGTTCTTCCTTTCCCACCTCGCCCGGCCTCCAGCTCCACGTGCAAGAAGCTTCTGGCAACCACTTGAGCCCGGAGCCCACGCAGCCAGCCCCCAGCGTGGACCTAGACTTCCTGGAAGATGCCATCCTGGGCTCGCCTGCCGCGGGGGGCGGCGGCGGGGGCGGAGGGGCCGCCGACCAGCCCTGCGACATCCTCCAGCAGAGCCTCCAAGAGGCCAACATCACTGAGCAGACCCTCGAGGCCGAGGCCGAGCTGGACCTGGGCCCCTTCCAGCTGCCCACCCTGCAGCCCGCGGACGGCGGGGCGGGCCCGGCGGGGGCCGGAGGGGCCGCGGCCGTGGCCGCTGGGCCCCAGGCCCTGTTCCCGGGGGGCACCGACCTGCTGGGGCTGCAGGCCCCCCCCGCCGTGCTGACCCACCAGGCCCTGGTGCCGCCCCAGGACGTGGTCAACAAAGCGCTGAGCGTCCAGCCCTTCCTGCAGCCCGTGGGCCTGGGCAATGTGACCCTCCAGCCCATCCCGGGCCTCCAGGGCCTGCCCAACGGCAGCCCTGGGGGCGCCGCGGCGGCCACGCTCGGCCTGGCGCCCATCCAGGTGGTGGGCCAGCCGGTCATGGCACT